GCAGCTGAGGACTCTAGACTCTAGACTCATGGAAAGAGAAAGGCTGTGCGCTGTTGGCCAAGAGGCAGGCACATTCTGCAAATTACTATATATCCCTGAGTGTTTTTGTGTACATTCTCTTCCCCCCCAAAAAAGAAACAAAAAAACAGAGGGAATGGAAGCAAATGCTAAGTGGATGATGATGCACTACAATCATTGCAATGAAACGATGATATAAAACCGACGTTCTCCCATGCAAACTATCACTCCATTTACAATAAAAACTTAAAAAAAAAACAAAAAATAAACATGCTTAGACATAGCTGAGCAGTATCTGTCATATGTAAGTCCTCCAAGGATACAGGATCCAAACATTAAAAAGAACTGCCTTTTAAATACTCAGCTAAGCAACTAGATTCTGACTTTGATATTCAGGATTTCAAGAGTCCCTCTACTCGTACAGGTTTTTCTATTCTGGTCATAGCTTTTCCTAGAGAGAAACCCAATATGGCGTGAAAATATAACATATGAGCAGTCAAGTCACTTGGCCACCCATCCCACCCCAAATCCTCAATTAAGTCACGGCTTACTTTTCTAGGGCACTGCGAACAGGAGGCAGCCCACCACAGCTATATTTGTAGACTGTTTCCAGAATCTGACATCCATGAATCTATGGAAAATATAATTGTTTCAAACTTAATTTCATTTGAATGATTCATGCAGCAAAAACTCATATTCTAAATTTAACCAAGGGTGCACACTCCAGCAAAAAACAAGGATAAACTTTCTCATAATAATCATATATAAAGATTCTCAAAGTATAGACCCCGGTCTAGTATCATAATCATATGGGAACTTGTTAGAAATGCAAATCCTTAGGTTCCACCCTGGACTTACTAAACCAAAAACTCAGGAGAGTGGAGGCAACTTTATGTGTTTTTAAGCTCTGATACACACTAGTTTGAGAACTCTGCACCAGGGAAACCAGAATCATTTAGAGTTGGACTTCTAAGCAATGACAGCTAAAAGTTAAGTGAGAAGTGCAGCTATGTATGGAACCCTGATGCTGTCCCCACTAACACCATTCACCTAGGAGGTCCACTCCCACTTTGGGAAATAGTTTAATACAGTGATTAAGAACACAGTCTTTTGAGTCACATGTTGTTAATTGTCGTCAAGTTGGTCCCGACTTACAGTGACCCTATATGTGGTGTCAAAGGAGCAGCGGGTGGATTTGAACCATCAACCTTGTGATTAGTAGTCCAGCATTCAACCTACAGTGCCATGCCAGGAGTCAGATGTTGTTGTTAGGTGCTGTGGAATCAGTTCTGACTCACAGTGATCTTAACCACTGCCCAGTCTTGCACCATCTTCACAACTGGTGTTAATCTTGAGCTTACTGCTGCTTCTACTGTGACAATCCATCTCGTTGGGGGTCTTCCTCTTTTTTGCTGCATGATGGTCTTCTCTAGGAGTGGTCTTCTGATAATGTCTCCGACGTATGAGAGATAATGTCCCGACATCTTGGTTTCTAAGGAGAATTCTAGCTGTATTTCTTCCAATACAGATTTATTTGTTCTTCTAGTAGTCCATGGTACTTTGAATATTCTTCTCTAATACCAAAGCTCAAATGCATCAATTCTTCTATGTTTTGTTCTATTGTGTATAAGGACACTATGAGTTGGAACCGATTCGATGGTACCTAACAACATCTGACTCCTGGAGTGGCACTGTAGGATAAGTGCTGGACTGCTAATCACAAGGTTGGCAGTTCAAATCCACCAGAAGTTCCTTGGAAACCCCACACAGGGTTTCTATGATTTGGATTTTCACATTCATATTAAGCTACTGAAAATACCATGGGTTGGATCAGGCACACCTTAATCCTCAAACTCACGTCTTTGCTCCTGAAATCTTTAAAGAGCTCTTGAGTAGCAGATTCGACTGAAGCAATAAAGAGTCAGAAAGGCCAAGGTTTATATACCAGCTCTACAATTTATTTTGGATCAGCCCCTGGAGAAAGATACCATGCATGGTAAAGTGGAGGGTCAGTGAAAAAGAGGAAAACCCCTAACGAGATGGATTAACACTGTAACAATGGGCTCAAATACAACAATTGTGAGGATGGCACAGGACCAGGCAGTGTTTTGCTCTGTTGTGCATAAGGTCACAATGAGTCAGTACATAACAACTACTATTTACTACACCGTGTGTCTATCTGAGCATACTCCTTAACCTATTTGAATGTGAAAATGTATGTAAAGCAGTTAATATACTGCCTAGCACAAAGTAAGTGCTTGATAATGACTGGATATTCATTAAAGTGAATACTCTTAATAAGTTAAGGCATAAATATAAAAGCTTAAATACATGGAGACTTGAACTAAACATGATTAATCTACTTGTCCTTTATTAAGAATGGAGTTACATGAACCATTTCAATAAGGTACTAAATTCTTCTTGGATATGAAATCTCGAAAGATTCCTCAGAGTTACTAATCCTAGCCAGAAAAGACAAATACTCTGTTTGGGTCTAACTTTTCAATGTTCCTTAAAAGCCCTATACAGGGTCTCTATGAGTTGGGGTCTAACTTTTCAATGCTCCTTAAAAGCCCTATACAGGGTCTCTATGAGTTGGGGTCTAACTTTTCAATGCTCCTTAGAAGCCCTATACAGGGTCTCTATGAGTTGGGGTCTAACTTTTCAATGCTCCTTAGAAACCCTATACAGGGTCTCTATGAGTTGGAACCAACTTGATGGCATTTAACAACAACAGCATATGATAAAAACATGTGACAAGGTCAGATATCTTTAACTAATAAAATGGCATCTGGGTTTCACCCAGTTATCTAATAATTCTTAGAAAACTCTCAGCGCCCTAACCTATTACCGTCTTTCCTTTTGAGGATGAATTTGTTGTGTCTCCTAAGAACTATAATCAACACTTCTAAACCCTTGGAACAATTAGCTCTCACCTCCAGGCACCCATAGCATTTTTTTCTCACCCTAGCAGCAAAGTGGACCAGATGGGCTGAAGGACAGGGTTATATCCTATTTATCTTCGCATCACTGATACTTAGCGTGTGATGCACCATATATTAGTGAATGGATGAATAAATATACAAAAACAAAAACCAGAGTCTTCAAAAAGAATGCAAGGTAAAATTAAATACTAATATTTTCTTGGTGCTTATCAGGGCAAAAGGAAAAAGGAAAGTTCTCACCTTTTGACTTTTAATTTGCTCCACTACAACCATCACAGAGGGAAAGAGGAGCTGGAACTGCAAAGCAGAAAATAGTAATGTGTGCAAGGGAAAAAACATCAACTCAGAAAATGCTGTTGTTTCAAAATAGTCTAGTTTAAGATAAACATGGCAATCCCATAGAAGAGCCAAGAAAAGGATCCAGTGTTCTAAGGCAATTTTGATTGACAAAGGGGTTGGTTACACACAGAAAGAGGATGGCAGATGGAGGCAGTTTCTATTTCTGAAGCAGGTATAATTGTTAACATGGATGTCAATTTAGACATCATTAACATAAGACATTAGGTTTTAACTAAATTTGGGTTTCTTCAAACAGTCCTGCCATATTAAGAGCATAAAAATGCACAAAACATAAAATGCCAGGCCCTGAATACAAAATGAAAAAACAATGTCAGAAGTTAGATTTTTCTAACAGTTTCAACAGATTTCTAGGACTTCTGTTATCTGGGCAGCATACCTGATCTAAGGAGTAGTTGACATGTGATATGGAGAGATGGGGATCAGCCAGAAACTGCAATAAAAGACATCACAGTTAGGGTGTCATACGGATTTTCTTAAACTGCTTTCATCTATGAAAACTAGAAGAGAATCTGAGAATGGGCCTGGTGGTGGTAGTGGTTATGTGCCATGGACTTGGTTCTGACTCATAGCAACCCTGATTAGGGTTTCTGAGGCTGTAAATCTTTAAGGGAGCAGAAAGCCTCAACTTTCTCCCACAGAGCAGCTGGTAGTTTTAAACTGCTGACTTTGCGGTTAACAACTTGATTTGTAACCATCACAAACACTAGCAGAGAATCTGTGAATGGGCTTAGTGTTAGGTTTAGGCTACTATACAAGTTGATCATTTATAGATTAATAACTCTGATTTTCAGGTGATAACAAACCACATTAGTGGTATTGTTTTAACAATTCTCATAAGCTCACTCAGAACCCTCTGCCATGATCTATAAGCCACTCTGATCATGGCTTGGGCAATCACAGAGAGAAAACTGTACCCTCCAGCTGTGCAGGAAACAGTTCACTCTGAACTATCTACTCTGGAGAAAAGAAGTTATCAAAGATGTTTCAAATTCAGTTACATTCTCAAGTCTGTTTTCCCAAAGGTATTGCTTTTTATGTCTCTTTTTTCTCACCTCTTGTTCCAAATCAAGCAGTGCTTGGCGATAAGGTTGCAAAACAGAATCCAAGCCTGTGCAGAAGGCCCTCAGGTAGATTCCATGTAACCCACCTTGGCCCTGCTGCGATGAATGGTGATCCTGAAGTAAAAAGAAGTTAGCTTCTTAGTTTAAGCCCTGAAGCTGGAGAAAGACATTATTCTTTATTACTGGTATTGTTTTAACTTAAATAACCCTGTTTCAATGTGGTGTTTAATGAGAGGAACACTGACTAGAAGATAAAGATTTTAAGCACTGATCTTTAAAAATATGATAATACTTTGATCTTCTAAACTGACACTATGTACAACAGAAGGCAACACTGCAGGACCCTGCGTCAATTTCACAATCATTGCTATGCCTGTGCCCATTGCTGCTGCTACTGTGTCAATACATCTCATTGCTGGGGACTTCCTCTTTTTCAATGACCCTCTACTTTACCAAGGATAATGCTCTTCTCCAGGGATTGGTCCCTCCTGATAATGTCTTCAGTATGAGAGATGAAATCTGGCCATTTTGGCTTCTAAAGAGCATTCTGACTACTTCCAACACAGATCTGTTTGTTATTCTGACACTCAAGGTACTTTTAATATTCTTATCCAACACTATAACTCAAATGCATCAATTCTTCCACAGTCTTCCTTATACACTGTTAAACTTTCACAAGCGTAAGAGGCTACTGAAAATACCATGGCTTGGGTCAAGTGCACCTTGGTCCTAAAACTGACATCTTTGCTCTTTCAACACTTTAAAGAACTGTTGTGCAGCAGATTTACCTAATGCAGTATGTCATTTGATTTCTTGAATTCTCCTTCCAAAAAGTTATCTTTGACAACTTCAACCTTTTCTCTATTTATCATGATGTTATTTATTGGTCCAGTTTTGAGGATTTTTGTTTTCTTTACATTGAGGTGCAACTTATATTGAAGGCTGTGGTCTTTGATCTTCAACAGTAAGTATTTTAATTCCTTTTTGCTTCCAGCAAACAAGGATGTATCATCTGCATTTCACAGTTTGTTAATAAGCTTTCCTCCAATCCTGATGCCACATTCTTCTTCATATAATGCAACTACTCGAATTATTTGCTCAGCACACAGATTGAAGAAGTATGTTAAGAGGATACAACCATGGCACACCCTTTCCTGATTTGAAACCCTTCAGTGTCCCCTTGTTCTGTTTGAACGACTGCTTCTTGATCTATGTACATGTTCTTTATGAGCACAATGAAGTGTTTGAAATACCCATTCTTTGTATTGTTGGACACAGCTTGTCATGATCCACACAGTCAAAAACCTTTGTAAAGTCAATAAAGTAATATTTTGTTTTCAGCCATGATCCATCTGACATAAATAATGGATAACCCTCATTCCACATCTTTGTCTGAATCCGAGTTGAACCTCTGGGAGTTTCCTGTCGACGTACTGCTGCAGTCGGTTTTTGAAGTTATCCTTACAAAATTTTACTTGCTTGTCATATTAATGATATTGTACAATGATTTCCACCTGTCTTTGGAAAGGACACAAATATGGATCACTTCCAATTTGTTGGCCAGGTAGCTGTCTTCCAGATTTCTTGGCATAGATGAGTGAGGACTTCCAGTGCTGCAACAGTTTATTGAAAGATTTCAATTTGTATTCCATCAATTCCTGGAGTCTTATTCTATGCCAGTGCCTTCAGTGCACCTTCAACTTCTTCCTTAACAGTACTTTCAGATCATATGCTACCTCTTGAAACAACTGAATAACAATTATTTCTTTTGGTACAATGACTCTATGTATTCCTTCCACCTGCTTTTAACGCTTTCTGTATCATTCAATATTTTGGCCATAGAATCCTTCAAAATTGTAAGTAGAGGCTTGATTTTTTTCTTCAGTTTTTTCAGTTTGAGAAATGCTGAACATGGGCTTCCTTTTTGGTTTTCTAATTCCAGGTCTTTCCATATTTCATTATAATACTTGACTTTGTCCTCTTGAGGAGACTGAAATTTTATGTTCAACTCTATTACCTCCTCATTTCTTCCATTTGCTTTAGCATCACTACACTGGAGAGCAAGTTTCAGAGTCTCTTCTGATATTCATTTTGGTCTTTTCCTTTTTTCTTGTCTCTTCAGGGTCTTTTGCTTTCTTCCCTGTTAGATGTTCTTGATGTTTTTATTGCATCTCTACTTAATGATTGAATTGTACTTTTGTTTATATATCCCCTTCACTATGCCAATAATTTAGAAAAGGCAGGGGCAGTACTTTATTTATTTTTGTATCTCAGCTTATAGCTGTGTCCAGTAAATGTTTGCTGAATTAAAAAATTAACTCAATACTCCTTCTTATGTCCCTTTCTCTGTCTGGTGTGGCAATTCAGCAAGAATGTGAATTTGACAGCCAACTTGGGAAGTCATGAGACTCTCAGAAAGAGGTCAGTTACAAACCTGGCTTGTCTTGCAGGAAATGTACACCTTTTTAATAGGAATTTCTTATGTAGTTTTATTTGGGGAACTGTGTTTAGCAGCAGCTACTAGAGACTATGCTGAATAGCCTCTCTGGTTATGGCCTGTTTGGGTCACCACACAGGCTCTGACAGGCTCTGGTAATGGAATGGTAGATATACTACAAGAATTCAGCAGCTGATGTGGAAGAAGCTAGGGCTTGGGGCTTACCAGGGATAGTGTAGTCAGAGGAGGCTGTAAAGGGTACTGGTAGTCCCTGCAGCTAAATGTACCCATTAGCTACAATAAAAGCAGCCTGGACACAGAGTAAGACAGACAGACTGGACGGGCTTACATCTAGCCCTGTTTGTTTCCATCTTGAGTCAGCTGAGAGAACTGAATTCCATTGGAAAAAAATATATATTATATTTGACTTTTCAAAAAAAAAAAAACAAAGAGGTACAATTGATATCTGTTGGAATTCAATATCTTATAAAAAATTCACACACACAAATTTAAGAAAAGTTTTTTCTTTTACGTATTCTACACAAAAAATAATTAGAGATCTTTTCATCTATATTACGGTATACACTAGTTCCAACTTTGATAATCAGATGTGCCCTCGTTAGTATGATTTCACTGACTAGATTTTCAAGTTATATTTATGTATTTTCTCTGCAATAAAATCAGTTGGAGAGGGCCAGAATCCAAGTATCAGAGATAAAGCTATTAATTCATTATTCTCCAACTTCAAGGCCTGAGAACGAATTTATATAACAGAAGTCAGAGGGCACTGATTGCACGGTTTGAAAAAGTATTCTGCCTTTTCATTTTTAAAAGTCCCCCTCTTTTCTCCTCATATAGAATCATTCTTCACAACTGTGAAACAGTCTTAACAACTGAATCACAGTCACATCATGTGACCAGCTTTTATTTACCACTGGCAGAATTAGACTTTCTTTTAAGAAAAGAGAACTTTAAATTTTCTTTAAAATTTTGAGTGCACTGTGCTCAATACTCTGCATGAATTACCTTATTTAATCATGTCACACTCAAGAAAACAGGTACTATATATTATCCCAAATTGTAGATATGAAACTAAGCCTCAGAGACATTAGGTAACTCGCCTAGTGGTATCTGGCCAGTAAGTGATGGAGTGGGACCTTGACCTCTACACTTTCCTGACTCCCAACTAATTCATATCATGAAAGAATATTTATTAAATGCATAAGATGTGCTAAGTACTCTCCCTAGTTTAACTCTTCTATTTATAAACAAGACTAATGAAACCCAAAGATTTTACTTGCTTGGCTTAGAGTGACACCGGTAGTTAGAAGCAGAGTGGCAAAATAATGTAAAAGAATAATGCTTTAGACTTCCAGAAAAAGATGGCGGAT